TCAGAAGGAAATCTTAAATAGGAGCATAGGTCAATATGCACATCAGTTTAAAGGGCTTAGCTAGCAGAGTTCAATGCCGGAAACCGCGCCTCAAAAGGATCACCCGTTACAAAATGGCGGCCGTTCAAAGATTTCTTGAACCTGCCATTTTGAATCTTTGAACGACTGCCATTTTTTACTCAGGCGTTCTTTTGAGCTTGAATTTACGGCATTGTAATCTACTAGTGAAGACCTTTAATTTGATGTGCATATCGACCTATGCTTACGCTAACAAAAATGTTCTGACTCCTAGGGCTCTGCCCCCAAATGCAAATTAAATGAATCTTTGAACCACTGTTACTCTTGACTTGGTTGTCCGTTTGAGTTTAAATTTGCAGCATTATATTCTGCTAGTAAAGACCTTTAATCTGATGTACATGTCAACCTATGCTTCTATTTAAGATTTCCTTCTGACTCCTTGCGGGACGTCCCCATGATGTGACAGAAAATTTATATTTCCATAAAAAAGTAGATTTTTAGGTGTGATGTTGATGTACCAAATCTTGTTGATTTATCTGTTGTCGTTTAGAAAATATTAAACCGGTCCGGGACTTTTGGGACAGTCTGTATATTGACAAGATGATATCATTGAAATATATTTTGGTTTGATTATTAAAATATGTTGATAAATATATTGGTGAGTCTGCTACCAACCCCGTGCCGTGCCGTACCAAATTAGTATTATGGATCTAAATCTATCTAAAGCTATATAAATGTTTGTTGTGTATTTGTACTATTTTAATGTTTTTTTGTGTTCAACCTCGTACATGTTTTAATTGTGTTTTTGCCAAGCTGCAAGCTTTGAATATGTTTCCTTCCCAACAAAACATGTAAGCTCATGAGCAATATTATTCGTTGGACTATTTGACGAAGGTATGTAAAAACCTATTATTGTCGTAACAGTATAGTCCAGAGGCAAGAAAAATGAATTTTGAAGTTAATTCTATGATATGATATTCAATAGCATTAAAAAGTTATAAGGTTTACCAACAGGGTGCAGCGCTATTAACTTTTTTGCAATCATGAAAACAGTCACTATGAACTAAGCAGCAACAAATGTTCTGAAACTGTGTCCTCCCCCAATGCAAACGCAAAGTCATAGTATAACTGCAATAAGCATTTTATACTTATACCGTACGCCAACCCCATACGAAGGACAGGTACTTTGCTAGTATTTCCATAAACCCGAATTATTATTTATTCCACATTTAAATAACATTAGATTTAATGAGTACTTAGGTTGGCTGTTGGAAGGGGTTTAAAAGTGTTATTTTGAGTAGTACAGGATGCAATAAATAAATTTTCCTAATTTGATCAACATAAACAATTTAATATATCCATAAACAAGCAAACTGCAAATGTTTTCTTTCCCTCCATAAAAATACCATGGTAATTTAGAATACCATACAGTTGTTTTTAATTTTCTCCCCAACCTTTAATTGTACAACAATGCTTCCATATACAAAATTATTTGTTTTTTAAGCTTTAAAAAATGCTCTTGACTCTTGAAGAAAATTGGCAATTATTATGTTATAAGGGTAAAAATAAAAAATAAACCATTTTTGAACATTTTTAAACCCATTGCTACTTTGTTTTCATGACCCGATCTTGCTGGTTCGCGAACTCATTCATTTTTATCCCACCTTACACCTTTAAGCCAAACTTCATCAAAATCTGACCAAAATTACTCGAGTTATCGTGTTCATGGACAGACATTATTATACATCCATACCCCAAGAACACGTTAAAACTTTTGATTTTATATTTCTTGCCCATTTATGCGCCAAATAATTTGAAACTGTACACAATTTATAAAGTAGGTTTAAAAAATATTCTGGGAAAATTTCAGTTCCTTAACCTTTGTAAAAATAAAACGGTGGCATATTGAAAAATTATATTTTAAAACAATAAAAAGGTGTTATTGGATTTTTAAAATACTAGATAACCTGTTGCTCGGAATCGAGCAAAACTGAAACTTGTATAAAAAAATAAACATAAAACATAAACAGCAAGACCTTACTTAATCAAATAGTCACTCAAAAATAATTTATATGACTGATTATAGAAATATAAAAATATTATGATGTAAAAAAATATGAAAGCAATCTACAATATTTAAATTTACATTCACTCTCATACATTCACTATGCTTTGGTTATCTCTTATGTATAGTAGGCAGGTGCACTCTATGAGCACGTAGATGTCAACCACACACTGTAAAGTGAGCTTTTGGCCTAATGTAGCTCAATTCCTCTCTTGACGCCAACCATCGCTACTCTTATTCTAGCATTGTTGTGTTCTGTTTTAGGCGTATTTAAATTAGGGGCCCCAACCCAAGTCTCTGGTTGGGAACATAAGAAGGTAATTAAGTGGATCTAACGACAGATCTATAATGGATACGCGTTTAACATTATTAGTGTTGGAAAAAACTATACGCTTTATTTGGCCAGGTGGTGCTTTGTTTTCAGCTTTAAAAATTGCTGCGAAATCTACACATTGTAGCGAGGGAAGACACTTCTACTGTCTCTTATTATGTACATAAGAATCTCACTTGACTCCTCGGAGCTCTTGTCCCTACATAATGTCTGCCACAGTCTTCAAAGATTTGCAAATGGGTGTTTTGGAGTTGTTGTTGAGTGTTAATATGCCCTATTTCCCGCATATTTTTTCATTGCATTTTTTTTATTGTGCTTAGTTCTCCTTTGGGTTCTAGTGACATTGTCGTACTTACTTATATATCTGTGCGTATTCAGGATCATCACCTTCTTGAGGAATTAGAGGACCCACTCGGTGGTAAAACGTGTCACGGATCTTAAAATTGTAGATCCCCTGTGGAACTTTCTCATCTTATGAGCTTTGGAGCTGACCATGGTAAAGGCAGAACTGAATTGACGAACTTTATCCAAATAATTTCTGGATATAAGTTTCACAGTCCTATTTTCAGATTGGGAGTTTCCAATAAGAACCCGTAGTTTATTGTGGTGAATTGCACAAATGAGGTAAACGAACCTTTCATTTATGGCAACAAAGAGTACAAACTTAACCGTCTCGGCCAGTCTTTTCTTGCTTAAAAATATGTAAGCCACTACAATGTAAGTATTTAACGTTCATTTGTCCGAGATTGGACTATCACAACGGTGGTACTACCACGATGTACCCATCAAATGTTCAATTGAGAGGTTGATGCAAGCGGTCATGTTCGCGTTCCCTACAGCCACTCACAGTTACTCCACTCAGGCTTTACCTTAGCAATCCTGTTTTGTTTTTTTTTTAACAGGATTGCTAAGGTAAGGCCTTATAATATCAATTAATATATAAGCAATCCAGAGGCTAAAATGATTGATGAAATAAGAAAGTTAACCAAATAACAGAAAACACTATAAAGGAATTGGAATTTTGATACACATTGTAAATTACATGATAATATGGTAATGTAACGGATAACTGCCCTGTGAATAATCACTTTTAAACATTCACTTCATCACATCGAACTGTAACTACATGATAATCAGTAAAATACAATGTAAGGTAAATCAATTTAACCATAGACAAAAAGAATTAAATATTTATTCTTAAACACTCTGTTGTCTAGTATTGATAGGAAACTCTTCATTATGAACCAGACTTAGTTAACAGATTGAAACAAAATATAAATTCCAGCTTTGCTCTGGAAGTTTTAAGTCCTGCAGTCTGTGGTTAACCTTAAAAACTATTTCAAACTACGTCCATATGTTATTTGTAAACAAAGGGAAATGAGTTTGATCAAATGTCAACAGAGAGCACCGCCTTCCAAACTTTAGCCCTTAAGTGTACTTAAGTGGTGCCCTTTCTAAATATTCTGAGACGTATTTGCACATCTACACGAAAATGCCTTTAATTTGACACCTCAAACGTTAAAATTTGTTAAACCGTTATCGAGTTATGACTGTGAAAAGAAAACTGCTTGCGTATTAAGATATAGATTTCTATTCTCATATTCTATGAAAAAAAGGCTTTTAAATCAGGAAACAAGAACATAGCCTCATGAAAAACATAGTCCAAAATTATTCAATCTGTGGTCCATCCACAGCGACACACTGATAACAGCGCTTAATAAATAAATCATTCATTATCTACAAAGATATTCCACGGCATCCGGAGGAGTTGAAGTGCGCAACTGCGCATACCAGTTCTTCTCTTTCCTCATTAGATCCTCTAGAGTGCTTTTTGACAACACTGCCAGTTTCTAACAAAAGATGTCTTCACTTGGTTACTATTCGATTAGGTGGTTCAACTTCTGGTTAGGTAACCTGAAATTGTCTAATCACCTATCTAATTGTCTAGTCACGCGCAACAATTCACTTTTTTCAACGTTAAAAGAAATTTCTCAACTTCATTTTGAGGTAAAACTATACCAGAGAGGTTAGGTTATGTTTTTATGGCTTAAGCGATATTCTTCAATCAAACAGCTGTTCTTCAACAATGACCTGGGGAAGAAAGGTCTCATTTTATGTGTAATTTAACTTCATAACAACATTGCAAATTTGCTAAGCCAAGTCAGTAAAGACTTACTTTTTGTTGCTGACATATTTGATGGGTCATATCAGTTGCCATGGCTCACAACAAGTCGTTCCATCTGCTTGACTTGGTAAAAAGGTTTGTGTATTCCGCAGATATCAGGAATTCAAATCAGCACAATCTGTCGGGGGATTACATCAACTATGACGATTTTGATTTAAAACCTGCCAAAACTTTAGCATGGAGTGTCTAGTTTAATTTGTATCAATACAATGACAACGGAACAATTATTTGCTTTCAAGATTCATCTATTGTAAGGGTTGTCACCTATAACTTTATGATTACTGCTTTATGATAGGTGCTTAAGAAAGAAGATTAAAAGTTTGTGATATGTTTTCCACAATAGAGAAGAGTATTTTTTATATCATATAGGTATTTTTTCCCAGATAAAAGGTGTAACTTACATCTACTTCCTTCTGAAACTCAAGGGGTAGTTTTCTGCAGAGATCCTTGTGGAAGAGGTATAACCTGGCAGTTTGGTTTATTTGATGACGAGGGAAGAATGCTCCATCACTGCCATCCAGTCTGTTACACTCATCATCGTCCCAGGCAGTCATCTTGTCTCTCCCGTTGACAGCTGTCACCACTCCGATCTCATCCAGGTCATTTGACCCTGTTGTAATAGTAAGGCGGTCGTTAGTTACGGCAGCTCTCTACAAAACAACACGGGGCTTTCAGTTTTTCAATCCAACATATATTAAGGTTCTAAAAATGTCCTTTATTAGACATCTTTGAAAGATTTTCTGTTTTTTTTTATTTGAAAAATTACAAAATCTTACAACATTTTAAAAACAAACTTGCTGCAAAAGCCAGGAAAAATTGGCTTGTCTGCAGCTCATAGAGATAAACTTGTTGTTGTAGCAATATACATTGATTGTTTTGAAATAATATTTCCCTCAAAGTAAAATCATTTACCTAACCCGCCATGTTAAACTTCCCTATCCCAAGCGTGATGTATACAACTTCCTTACTTCTCGAGTGATGTTAAGTATCAAAAACTCACTCGGTGATGTAATGAAACCCATTTAAATAACATTGAGTGATTAACTTAAAAAATATACCTCTATGGAGCCAACGACGTTCAACGCTAGAAATCAGCTGTGCTCTTGAATTTTATTGTTATGTTTTGAAGAATTTTCCTAACCTAGCTTTTGTTTGTAAATGAACGTTTACTGTTAGAAGATGAGTGAAATGGATGATGATTAATATTGTTCGTAACCTCCTGTATATTGTCGGGTCAGGTAAAATCTTGTACGTTACACGTTACGCAAGAGCGTGTTTACATCACTTAGGTAAATTATGCAACTCGCTTCCGCTCGTTGCACAACCTTCACCTGCGTGATGTAAAAACGCTCTTACTACACTTGTAAGGTAAATAGCTATTATTCCATCCATTGGGGAGGTTTTTGAATCACACTGGAAGGTAAAATAGCCTCTTTTATGTTAAATGATTTAATACTATATACCTACTATGCACAACAATTCTTAAGGGCTTATACTACTTTTTATACTGTATCGCATATGTTTTTTTTGCTGTGTGCTTGATATGCTTAACAAAAGAAAGCTTACAATCGACCATGATGTAACTCTTAATGCGAGGGAAGATGGTGAGCGCTTAACATAAGGACTCTCAGCTTCAGTTTTGGCTGTTTGATGCAACAAGTGCAGCAACGTAGTCAACATAGACAACAAGATAGGTATTATCAGTCATAAGACTTATTCCAGAGATTGAGTCTAAGAATTGAGCGTTGTACAGATCCAGAAATCACAAGAACAATTGTTGCTGACTTACTTGTGCCTTGTACAATTGGACACACTTCACAAAATATGCCTCCACCATCCTGAGTAGGAAGCTAGGGACTAGAGGTGTATACCCCTAGTATTCCACTAACTGAGGAACTCGTGTAAACATAGGCTTTCATGTGTAAGTGTAATGATGGTTGGGAAAAGATTGTTTTTAGCAAACTCAAACATGGTTTTCCATTTTGAAGTTATATTAGTAACTAAATCTCCACTGTTTACTTATTTACTTTCTTATCAGTTAGTTGATTCAAGCTAAAACACCCTAGTTATTTCCAATATTGACCGATCAACAGTCAAGTGGGTGCCTGTCAATTTTATTTAATTCAAAACGGACATTTGATTATTTAAAATAGCCATTTTAGGCAATACAAAATAAGTGACCGCCCCCCAAAAAAAATTAGAATTGTTCTCAAGTTAATTATGAATAATTTAATTTGAAATTTGTTTTTCACCTAAATTCAATTTAAAAAACCTACTATAACAGCATATTTACCTAGGTAAATATAAAGGTTAAAAAATCCAGAGTTTAATGGAAGATAAAATAGCTTGTAAATGATCTTAGAGTTTTTAAAGCTGATCAGTAATAACTTAGACTGTACGTAGTATATGTATGACTGTGTTAGTGAAGTATATGTATACTACACTATTATTGCTAATCCTCTCTTACAACATGCAGTATGGTTTTACTGATGTATGCTATTTGAATTCTGTTCAGTTTGTAAATTTCATAGCGCTTACATTATCTAGTAGCAGGTTATATTCTTTGATTAATTGTTCTAGAGTTTTAATATCTACAGTAATTTATATCTTATCTTGTAATATACCATTGCTAGCATTCCAAATTTTTCAAACGGTATTTCCTGATGAAGAAACCTGGAGAGGCCTTTCATAAAAGACATGAACTTGTCATTATAGCCAAATAGGAACTCATGTGCTGGAACCTTGATCATCGGAGTCATGTTGAACCCTCTCGTCAGGGCCCCTCCAACAACCAACTGCACCAGAATTGGCAATTCTCTGATCATGGCTTCTGCACTCTGAAACCAAACACATGTATTTTCAATCCCCAAATTTGTATTGATTATGAAATATAATATAAAACAACATTATACCTACCTATAATGCAATTTAAAATAAAAATAACAATAAAAGTAAATATTTATCATAGGGGCAAAGTATTTGAATAATCTGCAACGTCTTTGATTATGAATTCCTAAAACGTGTCATTCTCTTTTTTTAGTCCCTACACAATACCGTATTTCTGTCTAAATAATATGATAATCCCTGGTTATAAACATGAATGATTATAATTATTATTGATCATTATATCAATTATAATGATAATTGATAATTGAACACAGTTAGTAAATCATTCCGAATTAAGGGGGGAGTTCAAATAAAAAGTGAAAATCTTTATTACAAACCAATTTTACTCATACTACACCTTAAGGTGAAGTTATATAAAACATACAGAAAAAAACTGGAAAATTTTTTTTCCGGTACCCAAGGGTGGGGGGGGGGGATTTTTTGTGTATTGCAAGGGTTTGCGAGAACATAAATTTCTCATGTTTTAAAAGTGATAGAGGGTTGTTTTTTTTTAATCTGTTCCTGAGAGTAATACCTACAATCTCTAGCATGGGTTTAAGGAAATTATATAAAATAAAATTACAGTAAATTTTTAAATTTCGAAATATTTTTTTCCCCAAAATAACTGGTAAAAACTATTTTTTTAAATATTTTAATGACATTATTTTTACAAATCCATACTAGAGATTGTAGATCTTGTCAAACTGAACAAAATAAAAAAAAATGTCATCCTTCTATCTAGTATAGAACTTGAGATATTTATGTTCCCATGCGAAAAAAGTAAACTTTTGAAAAACGACCGAATACCAAAACACGGTGCTTTTAGTGATTGACAAAGTGCAACTTCATCAAAGTATTTTTTTTATGAGAAAAAAAATCTTATAAGGTTGGTTTTAACTGTTTAATGTTCAGAATTTAATATATAATAAAAAAAAAAATAAATAAAAAATTGTAAAAATTCATATTTTGGCCATTTTTGGCAACGACCGAATACCAAAACACGGTGCTTTTAGTGATTGACAAAGTGCTACTTCAAAGTATTTTTTTTATGAGAAAAAAAATCTTATAAGGTTGGTTTTAACTGTTTTATGTTCAGAATTTAATATATAATAAAAAAAAATAAAAAAATAAAAAAAATTTAAAAATTTATATTTTGGCCATTTTTGGCGTGAACTCCCCCCTTAAGTTTTATTTTTAAAAATATGAAAAACTAGCAGAGTACCCGTCCTTTGTACGGGGTTAGCATATAAGTATAAAATGCTTATTGCAGTTATACTCAAGCTTTGCGTTTGCAATGAGGGAGGACACAGTTTGATAACATTTGCTTCTTTAAATTTACATTATTCTATAGTATTACACATCTACCATAATGTATTACCACTTCACCTAAACAATAAAGAAAAATAAATTATCAAACATTCACAAAATATCACAAATTATTCATGAATTAAAAACATAAACATAACTGTAAACAATCCTACTTTGACAGTTAGTTCTCTGCGTATCACAGTTGATGCACCCTGTAGGTAAATCTTTTAACTTTTTAATGCTTTTGCATGTCGTAGAACCAACTTTTTAAGTTGAAACAGCTGACTAAATTCTGTAATTCCCTTTAAATATGAATACTCATATGGTTAACATGGGGAACTACAGAGCCACTGGGGGGGAGTCCGAAAGGATTTTTGAGATAAGAATATGCCTATATGTTAATCGGGAATGTGAGCTATCATCATGCCAAATTTCAGCCCACTCCGTCCTGTAGTTAATGTGTGATTGAACTTCAAACAAACACACAAACTTTCACATTTATAATATTATTAAGAAGCAAGATATACCAATAGCTGTAAACTAATAAATTTTCCAAAAAGGAAACATAAGCGCTAATCTTTAATTTTGTGATCATAACATGAACACATACAACTAATCACCCATAGCATATTTCAAACCCTAAATTTTCTTAGATTCAGTATATTTATTTAACTTTCCTCTATGCTACATCAAAAGTTTTCAAAATATTATTTATGGGTCAGCCCAGTCAAATTAGCTTTAAGATTCATAAAGAAAAACAAAAAAAGGTATATTTTTTCAAATTGCGTTAAAATGTCAGTTACGGCTCCTACTTTATCATACTAAAAGTAAAAGTCCCCTAATGTGAGACTTGAGCTTTCGTCTCCATCTTGAATTTTAGGTACAATTTTCTGGTTTTTCTAAATTTTCTTGTAAAGTATTAATATTTTATTTACCACATGCAAATACAAAATTCAAGTACACAAAATTTGCTACAAAAATTGTACTAACAGTTTTCTTGTGACTCCAACTGTTTCAGAGAAATATATAGGTACTTAAATATGTAATTTTATTAATTTTTAGGTACAGTTTTTTAGTTTTTCTTAATTATCTCAAAAATTATTAATATTTTACATAGCATATATCATTGCAAAGTTGCAGTACGCAAATTTTACCACAAAAAATTTGTTTACTACTGTTTAGTAACTGCGTCTGTTTTAGAAAGATATGCACAGAAGGGGGTCCACTGACCCTTAAAGCGGCCCTGGTTTTAAGGCAGTATGTATGGCCATATACATCAATAAGCCCAGCCAAAATAATGTTAATGTTAAAAGCTTAATGTTAATGTTAATAATGGTAATCTTTCCTTTCTTCACTTGCTTTTACCAAACCTTTCGCACCAACTTTAATACAACTCTCGCCATCCACTATACATTGATCATATAACACATTTCAATGATTCACTTATTTCAATTTTTTTGAGTTATACAAGTTATAGGCCTACAATCAAATGTTATGTAAATGGTTAAGGTCATAAACCAAATAAAAATATAGGCATACGGCACATCAAAATGAAGCTCAGAGTGTGTAAATATGCCGAAAAGTATTGGTATGAACAAATTCTCTTAGGGCTCTGCCCACAGGCCGATTTCCAATTTATATTATTAAAGTGATAGAATAAATTTGTATGTAAATGGTTAATGCCATCAACCAAATAAAGAGTCATCCAAGAGGTTGTCACGGATTTTAAACAGGTCGTAAAAGAGACAGGTACAACCGTACCCAACTCAGCCACCTTAGGACATACGGTATGACGGTCCCGCTGCTTTTAACATTCCTTCTGATGAGAATTTCTCGAACTTGAACCCTTTAAATGAAATATAAAGGCAAAGTTAATTAAATGGAAGCTTCTGAATTGTACACCCGTGGAATTCATGGGTAGAAACTCTTCTTTGCATATAATTTCTGTGTAAATATACATCTTGTAAACAACACAAGAGACTAACTGACAGATGATCACTAACAGATGTTTAAATATAAAAACAAATAAGCTGTAATTAATTGTTGAATAATAATAATAATGATGGTCAACCAACCCTAAATCTAATAATTCCCACTTGTTTTATATAATAATTAATATTCACAATGAGTAACTGTTATTAGATGAAAAAATATACCAAATCAAAACAAACATATTACAATAATTAAAAATGTAACATGTGTTAAAATATGTCCAATAAATCAACATTAATGTTTATACCTAACTATTTAAAAAAAAAATCAGATGGTGAATTATATTATAACAGAAAGTTCCCATACTCTTTAATAGCCCACATACATGGTAAAATGACAAACAAATTAAATTATCATATTAATGTGCATATATTTCTAAAACGGACAGAATTACAAAACAGTAATAAACACTATTTTTGTAGCAAAGATTGTGTACTTCAACTTTGCAATTATATATGCTATGTAAAATATGAATAATTTTTTAGATAGGCCTAATTAAGAAAAACTAAAAAGTTGTACCTAAAAATTATAAATTAGCTTAATTTACATATTTAAGCATATATTTCTCTGAAACAGTTAGAGTTACAAGAAAACTGTAAATAAAATTTTTGAATTAAATTTTGTGTACTTTAATTTTGTAATTGCATGTGGAATATAAAATATTAATACTTCATAAGAAAATTTAGAAAAATCAGAAAATTGTACCTAAAATTCGAGATGGCGGCGAAAGCTCAAGTCTCACATTAGGGGACTTTTAGTATGATAAAGTAGAAGCCTTAACTGACATTTTAAGCCAATTTGCGAAACTATACCATTTTTTGATTACATTAATTTGACTGGGCTCCTTCAAGAACTTAACCCTTTCAGTGCTATGAAATGATATATCGTTGTTTTAAAAAATCTCTAAGGAATATAGAGAGGAAGGTTATTTAAAAAAAAAAATAGCAAAACGGCCATTGGTGACCTGCTTGTTCATAGGATACACTAACAACCACTTAGCTAAAAGATTCGCCCAATCCGATGATTTCGAGGTGTATGTCTAAACACAGCCACCTCTAATACAAGGCCGCGGCGAGCGAAAAGTGGCAACGTTGCATCCGTGTCTTGGTGCGCGGCCGTCTTACCATTACAGTGAATGGAGGAGTCGCGTACTCTACGTACATAATGGCGTTTCTACTACCCTTAATCATTAGTAATGACATTGAACTTGTTACTACAGCATGCCAGATAGATGTGATGTGCCTGGATGCAAGAATGATTATGAAAGCTCAATTAAAAACGAATAATACATACCGTGTTCTAAAGATTCTAAGTGATCCGCCACGTAAGCAACAATGGCTTCCTGCTATTCTTCGGTCAAATTAGACATCTTAAAACAATTCTCGTTTTTGTGTGATACATTTTCACAAATATGAAAAAAATTGCAAGAATAAGACAATGATTTGTGTAAATATAGACGCGAGAAGCGAGTTTTAAGTATGAGAATGCCGTACTCTTTCCTTATCTATTTGTCTATCTTATTGATAAAAGCTGTTGTTTAAGTGATTAAAATAACTTAAATAACTAGCACTTCGAAGAAATAAACCGGTGTTTCTGTTAAGTAGGTCTACTAGTAAAAAATATGTACTACACCATCTCATAATAAAAGCAT